TTCATTTTTTGTTATTTATTTAGTCCATAGCATAACATTTATGTGGGTTCTGAATTTGTTTCCTTACAAACTTTCATTTCGTGTGATGTGGAGTTTGTATTATATAATGGCTTTAGGAATTTTTATGAACATATTAGCTTGATATGTATCTATCTTTGCCTTGTTGGAAATATGAAGATAGTCATGAAACACAGTACAATGTGAAGTATTATACTTGTCTTTTAGTATATGAATGTTGTATCTCTTCTTATATGTAAAGATCTTCCATACCTCTGAAGTTGGGTTTTAATAATTATCTATTTTTGGTGATAATGATCTAATGCCGGTTGGAGGGTTAAATGATTTTTCTTTGTAGATTTACTCCTATTGCTGCATATGGAGTTTTTGATTGCCTAGGGTACTCTAGAGTTGGATTTGGTCATGGAATGTTTGTTTAAAGTGTTCTTTTTGGGTATATAAACGCTGCACCTCCTTTGTGTATTCAGAAGGCTCCAGCCTCTGTTGTTAGATCTTTTGCAAATTATTTTTTGGTCAATTTAGATGACCATGAGATCACGTCTGTTGTGTTATTTTTGCTTCATGCTACTTGTGAAATTTTTGTTGCTTTATGGTAGTTTTGAGTTGGATTTTTAGCCATGATTTCCAGATTATTTTGAGGGTGCAGGATATATATAGATATATAAATCTTTTTCATCTTAACAACAACTTCTACTTATTACTACAAAGGCTTCAATTCGGAGCTTATAGAAAATGATTATAAAGGGAAAGCAAAAGGAAACGAAACTCTGTAGCATATCTCTGTAGCATATATTTTATACCTATCTCATTCAAATGAATTGTTAGACAATACAATATGCAAAAGGTCGCTGCCTCATCACCTATCTAGGTGTCAAGCCCACATGAAGGTCAAATGTAAGACCTTGTAAAATGACTAGAAATCCCATCCACTTCTTCTAATTTCCAATCATGCCATTTGCATAATAAAAACCAATAATACCCTCCAACATTCTCTAAATACTAACTATGCCATTTGCATAGCAAAAGGTCAACAATACCCTTGTAAAATGACTAGAAATCCCATCCACTTCTTCTAATTTCCAATCATGCCATTTGCATAATAAAAACCAATAATACCCTCCAACATTCTCTAAATACTAACTATGCCATTTGCATAGCAAAAGGTCAACAATACCCTTCATGAAATAAACAATTGGCATAAAAAAAAAAAATAATAAAAAGGGCAAATCATCACAAAAACTATAAGATATGATATTGTATAAATATTCTTCCAAAATGGTTGGCAATTGATTTGGCTGTAAAATGGGTTTGAGGATACTGATGAAAACCAAATCGAACTTCTTTTTTATTTCTTCTGATTTTTGTGTATGGTTATTGCAGATTTTGAGCAGCAGCATTGCTTTTATTTGCAAAATTCTCTGAATTTGATTTGAAATTAGTTACTATAGTGCCTCTGAACCCTTCTACTTGATTAGATCGACTTCTTTAAATATAAATTAAATTTCTTTGAGGTTAGTTTAATAATTTTACCAGCTTAAAGATTATATGGGCCTTCTTGGAAAATAGAGCAAAAAGAAAGAAAAAGTGAAAATAGGGGAATTGTAGATTAAAGGTCATGGATTTTCAACTCGCAACTGATTTTATTAAATATGGGTTTAGGAATTTTTAAATAAGGCTACTTATTGAGTCAGTGGTCTGAGCAGATATAGTGCCTTACAAAGCCACTATGAAGTAGAATTAAATATGGGTTTAGGAATTTTTAAATAAGGGTACTTATTGAGTCAGTCCTGATTATATATTAATATGCTTATAGTGTGCTAACTAGAAGCAAATCAAAACAGAAGCAAAAAGAAAAAGGGATCAACAGGTCTGAAATGGTTGACGTTGTTGAGCAGGTTATAAAACTTGGTAGTAATATATGATCTATGGCTAACTGGATCAAGCAATTAATATTAGTATTGAGCAGGTTAAAGATTGAGCTTGTGTATATGATAAATAAGCAGTTTTGACTTCTTATTGGTGCTGTTGGGACACCTTCTTGCACTTGCTGCTAGCCTCCTTTCAGCTAGCTTACTTGCTACAAAGTGCATGTGTTGTTGAGCAGGTTATATAACTAGGTAGTAATATATGATCTATGGGTAACTGGATCAAGCAATAAATATTAGTATTGAGCAGGTTAAAGGTTGAGCTTGTGTATATGATAAATAAGCAGTTTTGACTCCTTATTTGTGCTGTTGGGACACCTGCTTGTGCTTGCTGCTAGTCTCCTTTCAGCTAGTTTACTTGCTACAAATTGCGTGTGTTGTATGCTTGGATTATTGTAGTGGGTAGCTTGTGTCATGCCTTACTTGAGTACCCAAGGCGTTGTTCTTGACTCTTTTTTAGGGCTAGCCATGGTTGCATAATTGGCTACCTATATAGGTCATATTTTGTTAAGTCTTCACATGATATGGAGATGACTTCCGTTGAGGAGAGGGGAAACCTGCTTAGATAGGGCGATCGCCTGGTTTTGATTTTTTCTTGCAATTCTCGCTTGTTTAGTAGGTGAATGGGGTGAATTTGGTTCTTTGCATTCAATGATAGAATTTCCTTGTAACAACCTCGTCTTCAAAGGCAGTTTTGACTTCTTATTTGTGCTGTTGGGACACCTGCTTGCACTTGCTGTTAGCCTCGTTTCAGCTAGCTTAATTGCTACAAAGTGCGTGTGTTGTTTGCTTGGATTATCGTAGTGGGTAGCTTGTGTCATGCCTTAACTACTTGAGTACCAAAGGCGTTGTTCTTGACTCTTTTTTAGGGCTAGCCATCTTTGCATAATTGGCTACCTATATAGGTCATATTTTGTTAAGTCTTCACATAATATGGAGATGACTTCCGTTGAGGAGAGGGGAAACCTGCTTCGATAGGGCGATCGCCTGGTTTTGATCTAAGAAGCACGGACACGGATACGGGACACGGATACGACACGACACGGACACGGCGACACGGCAAATCCAAAAAAATTAGGACACGGACACGGCGAATAGTATATATATATGATGTAGTACTTTTTTTGGTTTAGAATTTTTAATTCTCAATCCGGCTTCTTCAATTGCTTTTTGCATTTCTGCAATATTCTGAGATGTGACTTTTGGGCATATACGAATACCCATACCAGTGTTCTGCAACAAGTGGGCTTTAACTCTTGTATAAGACCCCCTGAATTCGTTATTTCAAAAGTGGCATTTGAATAAAATATTTCCTCCTCCACCACCAATTTTTTCTAATTGTGACATAGTTCCAAAGTGGTTTGTTCTCATCTTGTTTGAATTGAGGAGTACTACTAGCAACTGATGTAGACAATGACATCGACATGTCTAATTTCCTAGACATAAAAAGAAAAGAAAAAAAAAATCCATACTTACAGCAGTCAGCAAAGAAGGAACAGTCATCATAGAATGAATAAATTCCTATTTGATCACAGATTCACAATTCATATGCAACAGCTGAAATTAAATCAAAGATGAAATCTTATTCATTTACAGGTCAATAAGTCACAGACTCACACCGGCTGAAATTAAAGCAAGAATAAAGACAACAGAGAAGAAGAAGAAGAAAGAATTTAGGAAAGAAATTAAGGTCTGTGAAAAAGGAAAAACACCAGAGAAGAAGAAAGAAAGACGGGTTTGTAAAAAAAAAAGAAAGAAAGAAGAAGAAGAAATTTGGGGTCTGTGAAAAATGAAAAAATAAAATAAAATAAAGAAGAAGAAAGAAACTGGGGTTAGTGAAAAAGGGGGGGGGGGGGGGGGGGAGAGAGAGAGAGAGAGAGAGAAAAGAAAAAGAAAGAATCTGGGGTTTTAAAAAAGGAAAACGAAAAAAACAAGATGAAGAAGAAAGAGAGAATCTGGGTTTGTAAAAAAGGAAAACGAAAAAAAAAAAAGATGAAGAAGAAAGAAAGAAACTAGGGTTTGTGAAGAAAAAGAAAGAAAAGAGGAAGGAGGAGGAAGAAAAGAGGAGGAAGAGGAGAGAGAGAGAGAGAGAGACTGACCTGTAGGAGGAAGAAAAGAGGAGGAAGAGGAGAGAGAGAGAGAGACTGACCTGGAGGCTGGAGGGAGTCGCTTTGATCGGCAGCAGGAAGTTGCAGAGCTTCGTCACTTTGAGAGATCAACCCGTCCTTTGAATCGCATCTTGTAATAGTGTAATGAGTAGCCTTAAATATCTATTTCTTTTGTTTAAAATTGCATAGTAACCTTGAAAGTTTAAAATTATTATGTTTTGACCACATAAGTAAGTAAAACTTATTAAATAACTTCATATATTTATACTTTAACCCAACTTTCTTTCAAAAATTATCTTTTAAACCCCCAAAAATAAGACACGCGTGTCGGACACACACCCCTGGCGTGTCGGACGCATGTCCGCGGAGTGTCCGTGCCGTGTCCGAAAATAAATAAAAAATAAAAAATTCCAGACATGTATTTTGGCGTGTCCGACACGTGTCGGGGCGTGTCTGACGCGTGTCAGTGTCCGACATGTGTCGGACACGGATTCTTTGCCTATTTTGGAGTGTTCGTGCTTCCTAGGTTTTGATTCTTTTCGTGCAATTCTTGCTTGTTTAGTAGGTGAATGGGGTGAATTTGGTTCTTTGTATTCAATGATAGAGTTTCCTTGTAACAACCTCATCTTCAAAGGCAGCATCACTCAACCGCCTTGCACTAATCTTATCAATAAATATAAGGGAAAGATTTTTTTGAAGAAGCTTACTTCTTGTAGCCATGGGGCGTTATCCGTCCCCCTACTCTTTCTTCCATGAATAAGGATAATTTTGTCTATAACAGAGATGTTGGGATTGTTCTCCACCGTCAAATACGAATGACCGTTTTGAGTTGAAAGGGTTTCAGGTGGACTACGAAGATGGGATGCTAATGGGTTATAACTGGTAGTTATTAAAGGTTCAATCTCTAAAGGATTATTGGTAAGGCCCAAAAGTGATCAGCAGGTCTGAAATGGTTGACGTTGTTGAACAGGTTATAAAACTTGGTAGTAATATAAGATCCATGGCTAACAGCTGGATCGAGCAATAAATATTAGTATTTCAGTTAATGCATCTTTGGTATCTATGCTCAAAAATTAATGGTGATGCAAGCTATATGGATCATAGCAAAGGTGAAATTAAGGCATAGTAAGAGAAGAATCAGTGTGTTCAATGTTTTGTATTTCATAAACCATAAAGGAGACAGCTGCCTACCAAAAACATTCTCACTCCAAGGTACATGCGTTTTGGTGAAGGAAAAGCTGAAAAGTTAGCAACAGATGACCAACACCATATATAGTCACGGCAAAGAAATTGATAACTAAGCTTAGTGGGCAAGGGTTTAGACCAGAGACTAGAGCCACAGGTCCTATCGAAAATACAACACCAAGGCTTGGATAGTCAAAACATGGGTGAGGATACTAATGAAAAACCAATTGAACTTCTTTTTTTATTTCCTCAGATTTTTGTGTATACTAGCTATTGCAGATTTTGAGCAGCATTGTTGCTTTTATTTGCAAAATTCTCTTTAATTTGATTTGAAATTAGTTAATATAGTGGCTCTGGACCCCTGTAATTGATTAGATTGACTTGTCTAAATACAAGCGGAATTCCTTTGAGTTTAGCTTAGTAATTTTACGTATTTTGCAAGTCGAGATTCAAAGGGTAACCATGTTCAATTGGTAATCACTATGCAGCTGCTAGTATGCGGTCTCGAGTCTCTTTCTGCTTATTATCTGCAACTGCTTGGTATCGGTTTATCCATTGTCTAGTTTAGTTGTCACTCTATCCATGCATTTCACTTTCTATCTCTCCATCTGTGTATATTCTGATGTTTTACTTGTAATTTTTTTTTTCTTCATTAAGATTCATCATTTTACTCCCACACACACACATGTCTCTATATATATATATATGTTTACCTTATGTTATATATCTTGTGTATTCTTATTTGCAGACCGGCATAGCACAGTATAAAAAAGCATACCTGACCTCCATTTCACTTTCTATCTCTCCATCTGTGTATATATTCTGATGTTTTACTTGTAATTTTTTTTTTCTTCATTAAGATTCATCATTATACTCCCACACACACATGTCTATATATATATATATATATGTTTACCTTATGTTATATATCTTGTGTATTCTTATTTGCAGACCGGCATAGCACAGTATAAAAAAGCATACCTGCTTGCCGATCCTCGACTCACAACGACCATAATGGACCATGTTCGACAAGCTTCTAATGAAGGTTCACAGCACCATTTACTTTATATTTATGTGTGTATATGAATGTTTATAGATACAAGTGTGTATAAATATATGGACAGAGATACTTTTATCTGTTGCTTCAGACCCTTTTAAAGTTCTTTAATTTGGGTTTTTGCCTTCAAATTTCAGCTACCCAAACCTTGATGAGGGGTATCTCCAAATTCGTTCTGATGGCAGATGATACTGAACCACTTGATGTCTTTCTCCATCTTCCCTTAGATGCAGAAGTTCAGGTAACACTGAGAAAGTTAAATATATGCATTTGTATCCATGTCTCTGTTCATTTTATCTTGCAAGAAAACATACTTCTTCTGCCATCTTTGTCTGTAATCTTTATTGCAGTTAATTTTATGAAATTATTTTAAACATTTTGTTGTTGTGATGGGGCCATTATTTATATGATGTGTCTTAGGTGCCTACAAAAGGCTATATCAGTTTCAAACCCACTAGTCCAAGGAACAGCAGGACATTGATGGGTGGTATCTCAGTTTCACCAGTGAATCCATTTTTCATAAATGGTGTCTTTAAAAGACTATTTTCTGGAAAAGTATTACTAGTATCTTTTAAAAAACATAATTTTAAAATTTTGCATGTGGTTTTTTTTTTTTTTTTTTGTATGTATGAATTTGTGTATAGGCAAGTATGCATGTATTGTGGACCCATGCATATGTATATAATTGTTTGTTTAAAAAAATAAATATTGCTTCTAAAAACTGTGGCCATTTAGTTGGCTGACCAAATTGAACTCCTTTTTTTATTTCTTCTAATTTTTGTGCATTATTAGTTATGACAGATTTTGAGCAGCAGTACTGTTTTTATTTAAAAAAATCACTGTAATTTGATTTGAAAGTCATTATAGTGGGTCTGGACCCCTGTACTCGTTTAGAATGACTTTTCTAAAAATAAATGGAATTGTTTTGAGGTTAGTTTAGTAATTTTACTACGTATTTTTGCAAGTCAAGATATATTCAAAGGATAACCAAGTCATTTTACATTGTATTATATAATGGCTTTAGGAATTTTTATGAACATATTAGCTTGATGTGTATTCTTTGCCTTGTTGTAAATATGAAGATAGTCATGAAGCACAGTACAATGCGAAGTATTATAATTGTCTTTTAGTATATGAATGTTGCATCTCTTCTTTTATATGTAAAGATCTTCCATACCTCTGTACTTCTTCTTCTGCCCCCACTGTCTATAATAATTTTTTTTTTTCTTATGCTACGAGTGCAGTTGGCTGAGCAGATGGAAGCTGGATGCAATGGAGAAGCTGCAGAGGTAGTGCCTTGCAATCCAACTAGTCCAGAGAACACCAGGACATTTATGAGGGTTGGCTTAGGTTCAATCGTATATAATCCTAGAGTGAACCAACTTATTGTACTTGGTGTCAGAAACTTCTCCACAAAGAAGAAAAATTCTGGGAAGGTATTAATAACTGATTCAAACAATCCACATTGGTAAAAAAAAATTCCATTTGTTTGTATGAACAGTTTCTTATGACATTGATTATTGTGGTCTGTATGATCCTTATGACATTGATTGCAATTGTGTCTGCTAGCCTTTCCCACCCGAACCAATCTTCATATTAGGTGCTGGGGTAATCCTATGGGGGGTAGAAGGGGCCTGAGGAAGAAATTGGATAGCAAAGATGATGTAGAGAAACATCACTTGGCGGAGGCGTTAAAGGAGGCGCAAGACATTGCTAAGGGTAAAGAACCAGTTCCCCGAAACCTACGTCATTATACGGAGGTGTTTTGCGAGTCGTGTGGTAATGGGTTCCCGACAGAAGATGATATGAATGATCATTTACCCACCTGTCCCCATACGTAAGTCAAAGTTAATTTGAAAAATTGTTAGTCTTCATTATCATCATCATCACCATCATTAATTTTTATTTTTATTTTTTATTTTGCAGAATTTGGAAAAAATGCAAGGAAGCTTGGGGAGGTTGAAGATGTCCTTACTTTATGAACAACTTTGGCTTTTTGTTTGGTTGAAATGAGGAAACTTGGAATTTCTTGGTTGATTTGATGGTTGAAGTGTGGTAACGACAACCACGTTTAAGATGATCTCCAACTTTATTGTGAAATCTAGTTCATGGTATCAATACTTACTGGCTGTTATAAAATTTTGATCCTAATTTTTTTTTTGGTTTTACTTTGATTTATTGCCCACGATTGCCTTGTGTGCCCCGAGGACAGCAAGTATGCATCCTACAGCAGTTAAAAGATAAAGATGAGTATCTAGAATGTTTTTGTAGGGTTGTTGATAATCGCTATTGCTATTAGTTTTTCTCCCCAGGGCTTGGTTTTGAGGTTAATTAGACTGTTCTTTTACTTATGGTATATAGTTTCAGCCGTTGGCATAACTGTACAGCGGTATGCTCCTTTTTAATCTGTATATAAATTAATCGAACACGCGGTTAACTTGTCCAACAAATAAATAAATAAATTCAAAAGACAATTGCTCAGGGTAAGGTAGGTTCACCTCTTAGATAGCTTGGTGGTTAATTTGTGCTCAAATTGGACAAATGTCATTTTATATGATAGAGTGGGTCGTTATAAATGGTATCAGAGTTTAACCGGCTAATAGGAACGTTGGGTTTTTACGCAAGTGTGGCCAACAGAGACGCTGGGTTCCTATGGGGGGTTGTGGCGATCTTATGGGCTGGTGTGCCGTGAGCAGATACAAGAGGAACTGGCATACTAGAGTTACAACAATCTTGTATCGCCTGGGATACAAGAGGAACTGGCATACTAGAGTTACAACAATCTTGTATCGCCTGGGTGTGAAAAAGAAAAATGCTATATATGTAGGATTTTTACACTCCAATTGGTATGAGGTCTTTTGGAGGTAAAATCCAATAACAAAACTGTGCGAACTTGGGTTCAAAGTGAACAATATCATACTATGCGGTGGAGTGAGTTGTTACAAATTATATGAGTTTGAACTCAAAACGAACAATATGATATTACGTGTTACGTGGGCATTCTAAAACATCCGTGCCAAACACAGTTACTTCATTTTTCATGTTGCCAGTGTGGGTTAGAAAGTTGTAGTACTTAAAAGTACTTGAGTCATTGTTGCCTCCAAGACTTCACCAAATCAATGAGGACATGATCTAATGCCTTAAATGGGCATAATTTATGAGATTCGAAGGGTATTTTTGATAATTTGATTTGATAGGGTATTTTTGAATTTGGAATGATATGTCCAAACCTAGGGCTTACCTAGGTTGTATTCGTATCTCAATCATAGATAACACTGTGAGAATCACGTCAACCGTAGTTCGGTTAAAACAAACCATTAGAAACAGAGTTTGAGAATGGTATGACCGAACCTAGAGGGTCTTACATATCCCAGCAATTAATAATACGAAACATCTCAGGCAAACTAGTTGGAATTGTTTAAAGATGTGAAAAAGGATGTCGTTAAGAGGGAGCTTAAGATTTCTTAAAAGTATGTTTTGAAAAGATAACTGACAAGTTCTCGTGAACGTGCTTTCAAAAAAGAGAACTTACTAGTTCTCAAGAAAGTTTTTTGAAAAGTGAACTTATGAGTTCATATGAGTGTACTTTGAAAACTGAACTTTAGGAGTTTTATTATTATTATTATTATTTTTATTTTTAATCATAGAACTTTAGGAGTTCATGATAGTGTATTCTGAAAAAACTTCCGAAAGTGTATTTTGAAAAAACTTCCGAAAGTAAGCGAACTTTAGGAGAGTGTTTTTTGAAAAGTGAACTTGGGAGTTCATGAGAGTATTTTTAAGAAGGGGACTTTTAAGAAAGTTATTATTTTGAGATGGAAATGACTATTTCATGAAAATATGTTTTAAAATGACGATTTATATGAAAATCATGAAAATGAGGTTTGCAATGATGAATTTTAGAAAAATCATAAAAATAGAGTTTAGAATGATGACTATTAGGAAAATTCGTAAAAATATGGTTAAAATGAAGGTTTTTAGGAAAATCATGTAAATGAGATTTAAATTATTATTAGGAGAATAATGTAAATAGAGTTTAAAATGATGATTTTTACGAAAATCATGAAAATGTAGTAGAAAATGATTTTTAATGATGATTTCAGAAAAATCATCAAAACATTGCGAATAGAGTTTAGAATGATGGTTTTTATGAAAATTAGGATTCCGGGAAGAAGGTCTCATGGTGTCTGACTTGTATCAGACGACAAGAACGTAATCTTCGTCGACATGGAAAGGACATTGATATCATCTTTTTTTTTTTTTTGAATGTTAAAGCAACTGACATATATAGGATGGAGAATCGAACCTGGGCTATTTGGCCTCAAGCAGAGCGCCCTTATCATGGGCTATCACACCTCACCTACATTGATATCATCTTCTTAAGAGAGAAGATACAGAGGTCATATCACACCAATTTATTAATCTATCACAATATAGGTTAATGCTATACAGGCATTCCAAGTTTAAACTACATCTAGAACCTACTTATATTTATATTTATAGTTATTTCTTAGGCATTAAGTAAGCATGTTTAGCACATGCTTAATACAAAGTGAAATTATTTATAGTTATTGAACTCATATAGTTTAGATTTCATTTATATTTGAATTTGTGGTTTAACATTTCGTTTTTATTCCGAATGTCAAATTTTATTCCAAATATCAAATTTTAGTAGGATTATAGTATTTTTGAGTTGTTAAATAACTAGCCTTTGATTTCCCATTGACTATTTTTATGATCAAACTATCCCCAACATGCACCTTCCTCCTCTTCGTACCATCATCATCCCCAATTCACCCCTACACAAAACCAGATTCGCCATTCGACCACCACCACCACACAAAACCCAAATCTTCAAAATTACATATATATATATATATATATATATATATATAAAACAGCCAAACGATATATATACACACATATATACATGTATAGATACATACACACAAAATTACACACATATATAGATATATACACACATACAAAACAGCCAAACAGAGTGTTGGCCGGATTGATGATGGGGGTTTGGGTTGTGGATTGGAGGTGGCGGTGGCCGGGAGAAGTGAAATGAAATCTTCGTATAGAGATCTTTCAATTTGCGAAGAGCGTGGACAAGGTGGGAGTCGGCGACACCACTTTGACCAGGAAGAGAGGTGGTGGTGCTGGAGGAGAATCACTGAGTTTGCAGAGCAGAGGCGACAAACTGCCTCGTAAGGGCGGCTTAATTGTCGTTGAGGTGGACGGCGAGATAGAGCGGCGCTTCTCTATAGGGATTGTCGCAGCGGTCGATCACCTCAAAAGATATGTTGTGGGTCAAATAGATCAATACATACCTACTCAAGGGTAGAAGCATTCGAGAAGTAAAGGTCCACCACAGGCAGAACTCTTGGAGTTGGAGGAAGCTACTCAGCCTCAGAGAAGCAATGCAACGTCTTGTCCAACTTAAAATTGGACATGGATCTGGCTCTTCAAATTTTATGTACCCACCAAGATGATGCAGCACCCAGACTAGCTGGTTTACCATATCCACAATTTATTTTTTTGGGATTTTGTTTTTGTAGGTTTATAACTAAGCAAGAAAAGAAGAAGAAGAAGAACAAGAAAAAACAGGAGATACACTCAAACCAGTTGGTTACCCTTTAACTTAAAAAATAAAAAAATTTAAAAAAATAAAAATTAATAGTCAATTCACATCTTTCTGGTTTTTCCCTGATCGGAATTATGTGTCTTTTTGAAATTTGATTGTTGAATTTACCTATAGAGAGAAAAAATGTATATTTAATATTTACCTTTAAAAAAATCTATATTTGATTGTAAAATTATGTTACTAGTTGGGGGTGTTCATAATTATGGCCTTGAAAAATATGAATCACCTTGTACTTCTAATAATAGTATAGATTTATTGCAGCAAAAGTGATGAAAAATACCCATTTCTTATATCATCTCCAGTTGCATTGTTGTGGCACCACTTGAAATTTATACGTGTCAATAAGTTACCGATAAACACTTGTTAGCACCAGAAATGGCTTGTTGATAAGCATTCAAATTATACATGTGTCAGGTTAAATTTTAGTTCAAGTTTTTGAAGCAATGTATCTTTTGAAGTATATACCATCTTCAATGCAAGTTAAGTGGAAAAAAATATTAACAAGTGTGAGATGTACAATAAACAATATACTAGCAACCAGTACGGTTGACATTGGACACACCTTTTAGACACGTTTAAATCCTTCTGGATATTAGAATCTTATTATGATTTTAAATTGTCAAAACGATTCCGATTCCATCTAAAATCTGCGGGAAGTAGAATCTCGATAGGATCTGTAGAATCAGAAGTAAAATCTCAAAGCATCCGAGGTGCAAACAGTTTTAGAGAGATAGTGTGTCAGTGTAGAGAGAGAGGGGGACGGTATGCAGAAACAAGTGGAGTATCTTTTTTGTGGGCCTTACAATCACTATCTATTAGGGT